TAGCTTACTTTTGTCAGAATGTTTAGACCATAGTTTCAGAAGTAGAGAGACCACATCACAGAGCGACCGCCACATCTTACAAGTATAGTTCAACTTCATGATCTTACAGCCAGATTACACTTGGGGGAACATCCAAGCTGACTCGTTTAAGGAGTCCCTAGTTCATAGTGGAGAACAGAGGACACCAATCTATATTCAAAAATCCATCCCAATCAGAAAATGTTTGAAGTGCCATAGATTTAGACATATTGAAGCAGATTGTACATCCAGGGGGATGACATATATATCATTAAGCAGGGAGTTGTTGAAGAAAGAAGCAATGACACAATGACATAATTGACATTGAAGAAAGTGAGGACATAAAGGAGAAAGATCAGATTCCAACAGATGAGGAAGAAAAGCACGTAGCTTCAATTGAGGGAATAAAGGAGATTTCAACAAGATTTACATTGACAGTCCAAGATGGTCCTAAGTTTGAGGAACCAACACCAAACACCCGATAACCCTAGATAAGAGAAATTCAAACTTTTTTAGATTTATAAACTCCTTTCTGAGTTACCCCTATTGAGGGATGACAACATGTTAGAAATGAGGCTATATTGTGTGCCACATTGGGAAGACTATATGAAGTTATTCAAATATTAAATTCTATGTATCAGTGTACCCATCATCAGATGTCCAGACAAGCATGATGAACCACAATTTTGAAAATTGTCTTGGGAGCTTGAATGGAAAAAAATTATTTAATGGGCTTCACGTTCTATTAGTGAAGATAAAGAGATCTCTCCTGAGTGGTTGTTAGTGAGAGTGGCGTGGCTTGCTACAGATTTCATTCCAGAGTTGATTTCTCCTCACAAAAATTGTTTATCAACTACATTCCACTGAGTACGAGAAGTGGAAGAAGCAGGTTTCAAATTCAAGGGCTCGAGAGTTACATTGTAGAAATCTACATCTATATACAACTCCAGCTCTATATGTGCCAAAAAATGATGAATATTTATTCTATGAAGACTTGTCGTGGAATGTCAATGCCTACAGGTCATTCCTAATACCTTAGCAAGGCTGACCTGACTACTACGAGGAGACATAAACTTGTTCATATGAGTTCGAAGCTCCCCTAACCCTATGAGATTTATGGGGAGCTTCTCACAAAAAAAAAATCCTCGGTATTGTAGCCTCTACAATACCGCTGGATTTCACAATCACGAGAGATGCGCCAGAACAATCATTTTTTTTCTTTCTTATGTTTTTTATCCTATTATTATTCATTCCTTTTTTGTCATTTCCTATATATGTGTTGTATTAGAGTTTAGGGTTCAGTTTTGGCTCAGATTCCTGTCAGGTCAGCCGCTTGCATTTGTTTCTCCCTTTGAGGGCTATATTCGAGGGCTTGGGTGGTACTCCGGCTATAAGTGAGGGTTTGTGTGTTGTTATCTTCCCTATCCCTTTCCACTTCCTCCCCACTTCACTCCCGACCGCCGTCCAATACTGCAGGCGGCGCCTAAACAGTCGCATCTTACTGTTTTTCCTGCATTTTCCCCAATCCAGCCACCTGTTTTCGCTGCCACCACCCGGTACAACTTTCCTCTTGTTGTCCTGCAGTTCTCAGCATCCCTCGTTGCTTCTGCCAACATTGCTCTTCGTTGCAGCCCCCCGGAAGCAACCTTTTCTGACTTATTTTTTTTTATGTTCTAGCCACCCAACCATCCATTCGCCTCCTTCCAGCTTGCTGCCCTTGCCGCAACTCCTCCCCTTCACCGCCGCTGTCCATACCATTTGTTGTCGCCGCGCCTTCCAGCCTTCACCCACTCCTTGCTACCTCGTCAGAGGTCCAAAACCTTGCGATCACCACCACCACCTCAAGATCTCACCCTAGTTTGATTATTTACGTTGTGTTTGTTGCTATTTTTGATTTCCGGATGTCATGTTGTTATATTTTTCCTTTTAAGTGTGTTAATTGTAACTGCTTAGTTTCTTTAAGTAATAATATTTGATTTTCTTTATAATGGTTTGGGTTAAACTCCAGTTTCAATTATGGCATCTTAACCTTCCATATGTCAAAGGTTTATTTTCTGAATTGTTTGAAGGAATCAATTGTTCAAATTTCATTATGAATTTTTTTATTCTGCTAATGATCATCTTGTTTCTTTTCCATTTAAGTCATATTCTACTTTAAAATCATTTTACTTATTTCTTATTGATGTTTGAACACTTTTTGGCAAAATAAAATGTTTGGGACTGTTACTTTTTGGAAAGAAAATGCAGTCGAGCAACGGTTTAAAGAATTTTTTCTCATGATCGTATATCAATTTGAAACAATAACTAGCATGCTAAGAATTGGTAATGGGATTGAGTAATTTAATCAATATTTGAGAACATTCCTTCTAGAAAAAGGTGTAATTCACCAATCAAAATGTCATGACATGCTACAACAAAAATGGCTTTTCCAAAAGAGAAAAATAGACAATATTTTTAAGTTTCTCAAGCCATTATGCATTCAATAAATGCTCCAAAATATCTTTTGGGGTAACACACTTTTGATTACTTATATTTAATAAACAAATGATATGTCAAATTTTTAAATTTGAAATATCTTTAGAAGTTTAAAAATTCTTTTTTTCCTTACCTAGTACATGATTGTAGATCTCTCTCTAAGAGTTTTGGGTTGGCATTTGTAACGTGTATATGCCCAATGTTTTCTGGTCAAAGCTTGGTCCAAAGGCTGAAAAATATGTTTTTCTTGGCTAAGCATCTAATTCAAGGGATGTAAATAATTTAACCTTATCACTAAAAAATGTTTTGAGAATATGTGTGTTAATTTTGTTGAGAATCAACCTCTCTTTTAGAAAAAATCATCTCATGGGGAAAACATACTTGGGGAAGATAATTTTTAGGGAATGTTTTTGAACTCTTGGCCTATACCATAAGTGTGTATTCCCTTTATTAATTTAGATGATTGGAAACACTAGTGAAAGTATTGAGATTAGAATGGTATTATCACTAAACAAAACCTTTGGTAGATGTTACTTTATCATAGTAGAGGGGAGAAGTATTTCCAATGAATCAAAATAATTTGCCCCAGCATTAGGTGCAGACGAGGAAAAGCTTAGACGAACTACTGCTCTAGTTATTTCCCTGGCAAAAATTCAATCCAATTTGTCTGAGTGATATTCTTTCAACTCATAGTAACATACCTTTCACACCTATTCCTTCATCTCTAAACATGCTTTTGTCAAATCTTGATTTTCCTATTTTCATGTAGGAAAGGAATTTGAGCATGCACTAAACATCTCTTTGCAAAGTATTTGGTTATTTGAAATTTTGTCAAGCACTCATTGAGCATTTCTGAGTAGGCTCTCTAATTTGTTTGTTTTAAGAATTATTCGAGAAGCATTAAGTGATATTTATCGGAAATTAGCTCTGAAAGAAGAAGTGAATGCCCTCCGGAAAAATAACACATTGAGTGTTATTGATCTTGCAGAAGGCAAGAAGACTGAAGAGTGTAAATGGGTATGTACTATAAATTGTAAAGTTGGTGGAAATATGGATACAAAGAGAAGCAAAAAACCTTTGTGTTGAGCTCAATGTTTGTTTTTTGCTCCTATTCCTAAAACTAACTCAATCAGAATGGTCATTTCTCTTACACTGGAACTTAATTTTTTTGATGTTAAAAATATATTTCTAAATGGAGACTAAACAAGAAGTATATTTGGACTTATCATCCGGATTTTAAGAAATTCTTGGAAGAGTAAAAGTGTACAAGTTGAAGAAGCAATATTTGGACTAAATTAGGTTCCTAGAGCTTTGTTTGAGCATTCTGGAAATGTTGTTAGGAGACATGAGTTCTCACAAAGCAATGCTGGACACATTATCTTTCAAGCATTCCATTATAGGTAAAATCACCATCCAGATAATATACATTGATGACATTATTATAAATGGAGATGGCTATCTTGAGATTAATTACTTGATGGAGAAGCTTGATTTCAAAGTTTGATTTTGACCTAGAAAAGCTAAATTATTTTCTCAGAATGGAGTTTTCCAGATCCTAGGATTGAATTTTAATCAATTTACTTTGAAGCTGTATTTTGAATGTTGAGATACCTCAAAGGGATTCTAGGGAAAGGACTTATGTTTAAAAATAGAGGTCATCATTTTTTTTTTCTTTTTGAAGGGCAAATAGAGGTTATCTTTAGGTGAAGACCTACACCGCTGCACGAATATAGATCGGGCAGGTGATATCAATGATAGAAGATCTTTCTCAGGATATTGCACCTTTGTTGGAGTTAATTTGTTTATTGCAGATGGATTTGTCAAGTGTTATGGATCAAAAATTTCTAAAAGAGTTGAATTAAAATCTTTTGTGACAACAAAGTTGCAATTTCTATATCACATAATCTAATTTTACATGACAGAACAAAACTGTAAAAGTGGATAAGCATTTTATCAAGGAAAAGATTGATAGTGGCATAATATGCATGTCATATATACCTGCCACAGCAATTAGCTGACATGCTCATTAAAGGACTTCCTATGGCACACTGAGAATTTGGTCGGTAAGGTTGCCATGAGTGATATCTTCATGGTAGGTGTTAAAACATTTCATAGAATATCCTTGATTTAATATCATGTTTGATCATGAGCAAATTTAGTTAGTTAGCTGGCATTCTCTTCATTTATTCAACCAATTTATTCATTTATTGCATATAGCATGAATTAATATCTATTTGCATGCAGTCATTATGCTAGTGTATTTTTATGCTGCATGCACATAAGTATGTACATTGAGTATGCCTTTAATCCATATATTTTTTTGCTATATCTGATCCTATTGTAGTATGATTTGCAATTTCTTATGTTTGAGATTCTGTATTCTATTTTAGCGCATTAGAAAAAAGATAATGATTTCCGCTTGTGATTGTTGTTTTAACCCAGCTCTTTCTTTTTGGCATTCTCTTCATCGCTGATCAATATTCTATCTATTACGTCTTTCACAATAGGGGCTGCTATTTCCAGGTTGGAAGCTCACTAAAGCTCGGAATGCCTATAACTTCTGCCTTCAGGATGGCGTTGGGGACATGGGCATCATGGGTTGAATCTTCGATCAACAGTACTAGGACGCATGTTTTCTTCAGGACCTTTGAGCCTTCTCATTGGAGGTATATCTGTTATATTCAAATAAAGATGAAAATTATTTAAACCGATTAGAAGTTTGGTGATATCTTCTAATTATTCTGTCTAGTCCATTTCATTTCTATATTAATGCACTTTCCTGCCTAATATGTTCTCTTTGTTTGAATTACGGACTCATCAACATCTTGCATGATTGTAAAATTATAGTTACACAAAGTGTTTTCTATCATTAGATAATTTCACATAAATTTATGTTGAAGCTTGGAAATTATGTTAATTGAAGCCTGGCAGGTAATTTAATTGTTTTATTTTTGGTATACATTTTTGAATAAAGCACTAACAGTTGGATGGCTAGAAATACCACTAGAGCACAAAACTTAAATTCTTACCTACCTTTGGTGGTGTAAAAATTCATTTGGAGGTGAAAGTTTTGCTGAAGCCTGTCTTTTCCGGATGCTGCACATCGTTCTTAGCATCTTGTTTGATTTTTGTCGACATTCTTGTTACTGGAATGTACTTGTATACTCTTTTTCTTCATGTTCTTCACTATTTCACCCAGGAAACAAACAAAAACTCTCAATTTTTTTACCTTCATAACAGTAGCTAGAATTTCTTGGGCTCTGATATTCATGCATCTAAAAAATATCCTTGTAGCATGCAAATGGTTATAGTGGTGCAGGCTTAGGATTATGGGTATAGGAAAGCTGTCTAACCTTTCAAGGCTGCCCAAAGTGAAGTTTTTTTGGTTGGATATATGAGGAGAATTGACTTTGTCTGAACTTGAGTATGGGATCAACAAATTCATGCCCAATTCTTTTGAGGTTGTTTTGTTCGAGGTTAAATTTTTAAAAGATAGATTAGATTTTAGATAAGACGGTGTCTATAGATCTTGCCATTGTTTTACAAGAATTTGATAAATTGGTTTCATTCTTCCTAGAGGAATTAGACCTCTTTGTTAATTATCTCTCTTAGTGATGAGAGAGAACCTTCAACATGTTATACGCTTAAGTATTTAGTAGCAATAATTTTAGTTTTAGATTGAGAAAATGTACTATCAGCATCTTAGAGCTGATGTTGAAGGGAATGATGATGATCCTAATCAAGATCTCATATTCTCGTTTTCTTGAGCTGTCAGTTCAATTTGATCAAATAACTCTTGATAGTAATTTTGGGTTGTGTTGTTTAAGAGGGTCAGATAGACATTAGATGGATATTTGCCCAGGAAGACATTTTTTTGTAAGATTTAATTAATAAAAGGCTTTGTGCCCTTTTAAGAATTCACTATATAGAGCATTTGCGCTGTGATCATAATCGTAATTTAATAATATCATTTTACAGCAAACCATCAATTAGGGACCCGATTATAACAATTTTTATTGTGATTTTATTTGGCAACAAATTCACCCAGTCAAAGAATGTGTCACGTTCTTACTATGTGAGATCTTTGAGAATATTCATATATGTATGCCAGATATAACATTAGCTTTTTACAAGTTTAAGCTTAAATTTATCACCTTTTACCAACTATTGAGACTGACAATTGTGCCTTATAGGTAAAGCAACCTGCTCTAAAACTCATACAACATATTATGAGTTAGAGTTTGGACTTGAAAGAGAATCTTATAAATTTCAAGTAATTGTTTGCTTTTCAAAAATATTGCTTGGTCATTGAAGTGGAGGACAATTTGAATTTTCCTTGGTTGTAGTGCGTGCAACATTTTCTGGCGTTAAGTTCAAGTGTTTAGCATAGTTATTGATTCACATTCGGCTAAATCATGAGCGCTGATTTTTATAAGCCTTTTTATGAATGTTTTAAAAAGTTTGTTCTCGCTCTCACTTTTGTTTTTGTTTTAGGATAATATGTTTTTATATCTTCTTAAAGACCCTCAACCTTTAGGATTGCTGTCGTATTGATTTGAACTATATCATATATTTATCGGAATATTTTCTAGTATTTTTCAGCTTAGCACAATTTTTGGATTAGTTGTACACCTCCTAAGGTAATGATTTAATGTTCAAATTTTTTGACAAAATGCTCATGACACTTTTAAATTGCCGCAAATATTTTTTTTTGTTTGAAAATGGTTACACTCATACGAAGTAAAAAAGTTTATTTTTTAAATAGTTGATACCCTTTTAAAGGAAATGCATGCTTATAGTTGGGCTTACAAGAGTAATGATTAGCATCTTTCTTGAGGACTGCTCTCCAAAATGTCTACATGATTTTTTGGGGCATCACATTTGAGTTGAAAATGGTTGCTTTGTGATGTTCATTGGAAACTCGAAATTTTCCCGATTTAATTGTGTGGATGTTTCATCATTAAGATGCTTGAAAAGTCTCATTTTGAACTTCAAATGATTGCATATGTTGTACCTTCATTACACATTTAAAATATAAAAAGTTTTAGCTATTTTGCTCATGTTTAGCTTTTCTTCTACATGGACCCCACAAAGACTTTTTTTTATTATAAATAAAATATAACTACTAACTATTTGCCATTCGTATTTAAGTTTCATTTTGTTTATGAGCATTTTGGTAGCTGCAACGTTTAGTTTGTGCTTGTAGATGAGCTGTCAAGTTTCCTGTAAATGTTCATATTCTGTTCATATTCTATTTAAATCATTAAATGTTTTGTGTACACTTCTCAATGCTTGCTTGTCATTATTGGTTATATGTAGTAGGAGTTTAGCGGGAACATTAGGCTTCACCACTATTCCTAAGAAAATGTGTATGATAGATGTTCTACGATACTGCAATTGGTGGTCTTTAAATCTACCATAAGAAAGGCGGGCTGGGTTTTCATGCACGTGGCTGTCGTAGACGATGCTTTTGTAGACATTTATGAAATGTTGCTTTAGACCATCAAGTTACTATTGTAGACTATCAAATGACTATTGTAGACAACCAAATTTACTGTTGAAGACTATCAGATGGTTGTTGTTGACTACCTAATTTGCTGTTGAAGATTAAATCCACACAAAATTTCATTTTTGAATCTCTGTTAGCTCTTTTTTAACTTGATTTTCTTAAAAATTTTGATATTTTTTGGAATTTGATAATAATTATAGTGAAACTTTTCTTAAGTGAAAATAGATATCCTTAATCTATTTTAAATTTCAATCTACTTAATTGCTTTCATTGTGTGTGTGTGTGTGTGTGTCAATTTGTCCTATGCATGTCAAATTCTCATCTTCATCCTCAGGTTAATTTTTAGAATGTTTTTTGGGCTTTTTCTAGATAATCTTAGCCTTTGAACTTGTCTGCGTGTTCCATTTTGGGAAATGAACGACAAATGAACAATTTTGATTGTGGTCAGGATGCGTCGAGCAGAGCTTGTGTGATATATCGTGTCTGCGTTCTATTGTGAACATTACATTTTATTAAATTAACTTTGTGGTGTACACACAGAAACTAAGATTGAGCAAATCTAGTCATCGTAATGTTAAATATTTACCAATGCTTTCAAATCTGTTTGGGATTAGGATTTAAATCTCTTAATTTTTATTTCCAGTCTTCAATAAATGGAAACAATGACATTTGACATGAATGAATGATATTTCTTCTTATGCCACATTTGAACTTGAATTTTTTTAAGGTAAATAAGTGAACATCATTTGCTGAGAAAAGTATTTGTGATACGACTTATAATTGGCAACAGGAAATGTAGATTTAAATTTAATAAATTTAGGGACCAAAAGGGCTGTTCTTAGCTACAAATTCTTGTATTTTAAGTTCAGTTTATTTATAACATTACTATGCAAATTACATGATGCTTTGTTCTTAGATGAACTAGCTTTATAGGATTACTTGACTTTATGAAGCTGTACAACCCTTACTGAACAGCAAACCATTACTCTTTTGTACAACTTGGAATGTCATACAATCAAACTAACCGTACAACAACAACAAAGCCTTAATCCCACTACGTGGGGTCAGCTGCACGAATCATTTTTCTCCATTGCGTCCTATTTAGTGGCATATTTTCATTTAGTTTAATTAAGATCATTTTTATACAATAAGACCAAGTCTTCCTAGGTCTTCCTCTGCCTTTCTTAACATAAGTCTAATTTAAAACATATATTCTCCTAATCGGATCATCAAACTGACTGTACACTAACTAAATTTTAATTAGTTCATTTTAGTTTTCATGAATAGATTGGTAACTTGTCATTGTACCGTTAGTTTGATTAGTTAGTCTTAAGTAGGATATTCTATTATAAATAGAGAATCAAAAGTCATATTATAGTAAGACTGAGATTGCTATTATTCAATGACAATGGTGTTTTGCATGGCTTCTTTCTCCTAGAATGTGTCTGGTTTCTCTTCCTAATAGGCTCTATTTCATGGTTCTTCTCCCCATCTTCTTCCCTCTTCTTCAAGTAATCAAAGTATGAGATGAAATTTTTTAGACATTTAAAATTAACAGTTCAAGATTTTATTTTTTTTCAATAATTGGTTTAAATTAAAGTTTTTGTAAAAAACTTTTGTTAGTTTTGATTGTAATACGAACTAAATAATTTTAAATATTTAAAAATAATATTGTATTCATTTAAAAACTTTAGAATAAAGATAAAAAAAGATATAAGCATATACAAATATTTTTGTTTTTATTATGTTTCATATATCATATTGATATTTAATAATTTATATTGTAACAACAACAAGCCTGTATCCCACTAAGTGGTTGGCTACATGAATCCTTTTTCTCCATTGCATCTTATTGAGTGTCATATCTTCATGTACTTGCTTTATATTGTAAAATAAATTATAATCATAATGAAACAATAAAATTTAATGTTCTGATTATAATTTTGAGTGAATTTTGAGTGTAATGGTTTACCCAAAAAAATTGAAAGTATATATATGTATTAAATAATTTATACTTCTTTTAAAACAATACTACATGCATTTAAATAGTTTAAGGACAAATTAAAAAATGATAGAATTATATAAATATACTCATAATTTATTTTGAGTTTTATATAATATTATTTTTTTAATTAAATTCAAACTATAAATTAAATT